GTAAAAACTGGTTGAAATGATCTGAAATACAACTTTACTAAAACTGTAAAAACTGGTTTAAATTATCTAAAATACAACTTTACTAAAACTGTAAAAACTGGTTTAAATGATCTGAGAAATGAAGATTTAAAGATTAATTTATTTTAAATAAAGGCCCATCATTTCTGAAGTAAAGCCTCAGGCCACAGTTTTACTCAAACCTTCCTGCCTGTGTCGGGGATGACTCTCAACTACTACCACTACAGATCCAAGCTCCATGTCAATGTAATGGACTGAGTTCTCCTCTTTTTTGTGATGGCTAAGGTCAATTAGCTGCGGTGGCCATCTTGACTCTTGCTGACTCCAAGTTACTTGTTTTGTTTCTCAAAATTCTTTTAAACCGTTCCAGTGGGTTATGTGATATTTTGCTAACACAGAGGCAGACCAGTCATTTCAACAGCTGTAATTGTTCTGGCTCTGTCGGATACTAACTCACCGTTTGTTTTGTGTTTTTAAGTCCAAGAGCTGCGAAGACAACGTTGAGACATCGAGTTTCTGCGTGAGTTTCGCCGCCGACGTTTGATCTGAAAACGTTTGAATTATTCTCAGATCTTCTGATTCTTGTTTTGCAGCTGAAGACCTACAGGAGCTGTCAGAGGACAAAAAGGATTCCCTGAGCATCAGATCCTCAGCTGCTGTTTTTGTTTATCGTGACTCCAGTTGTTTTCTCTCCGTGCTGCGTTCAGGGTCCATAAAGACATGAAGTCCACTGCAGGACATTTAGAGACAACAAACACATGTTTATTGGTGCAGTTTAAAAGTTAGGTTATAAAAACATTCTTTTGAACAACAGATCCGTTGAGTTTTAATTTGACTTTTTAATTTATAATAAAAAGATGAATCTTTTAACAGAAATGCTCATTTGACTGATTTGAGAGCCGTTTCATCAAATCAAATCTAGAACTGTAAGAATCTGTTTGTTGCGACCCCTTTAGTTTTTCTGCTCTCCCTCGTGTTGCCAACTCCTGCTGCACCTCCTCATGCTGTTCCTCCTGCTGCACCTCCTCTCACTGTCCTCTCCCAGGTGTTGTGATTATTTCCTTGTTAGCTCCTTTATATTCTGCATCTCCGTTCCCTCGTCTGGGCATCATGTGGTGTCCAGTTCTTCCTCCGTGTCTCCTCGATGATTATGTGAGTTTTGCTGACACGTCAGCCGTTTTGCTTCGTTTAATAAATTTATTTATTTCTTTTACCTCCGAGTTCTTCGCCTCTGCCTGCACGTGGGTCCCACTATACGACAGAAACCTGCTGAGGATGGTTTAAAGAGGCCGAGCCTGACGTCAAAACTCAAATGGATGTGAAATTGATGTTATTGAAAATTACAGTTTATGAAATAAGAATTAAAATCCGAAGGAAAAATTTAATCTAGGCCTCATTTATTTTATGTTTTTCTTCTAAATGGTTCAAAATAATTGAATGATCTGATTTTCTCTCATCTTTGACTTTTTTTAAAAAAGAAGCTGAAAATCTGTGAACAAGAGCATCTCTGAAGCAACCAGAGGATGAATTTATTAAAGATATAAAATCATCTTTAGGCTTGAACTTAAATATATTCAGTTTTAAACTGTTTGAACTTTGAGTTCATTTTACTTTTATTATTATTTATTGACCTTTATTTAACCAGGCACATCCAATGAGATCACAGATCTCTTTTGCAAGACAGGCCTGGGCCTGAAGGCAGAGAGAGCTGCAACCTTCAGCTGATCTTCAGCTAGTTGGAGAGGAGCTGCAACCTTCAGCTGA